AGGCTGTTTAATAAGAAGTAAACCAGAAAATATTTTTTCCAAAATAACATCTTAAATTTTTATTATTCACTCTTCTGATATTTAATATCTTAATCTGTCTCTTACCTTTTCCATTTATTTGGAATATAGTCAGTTTTAACTGCTACAGTCCTTGTCTTTTAAGCTATGTATTATAGTTGGTTTAATAGTTTTCTAGTTGTTTGAACATACAGTCAGTATCCTATTTAGGTTCTTTTTTTTGGGGGGGGGGGATTATACCCATTAGAAAATTCCATCTTTTGGTTTGATTTTTTTAATCTTTTAAAAATGATACATGGATTAATCATACACGGGATTCAAAATCATATAATCAATAAATACAGTAATACAGGGAACTTTAATTGAGGAATACCAGGAATAAAATTTTCAGAACTGATTAACCAAAGAGAAGTGGCACTCTTCTGTAAATTATAATACTTTTGTTCTATTTTTGGAGTCATGATGCAAATTCCAGTCAATTAAAGAGTCAAAAGTGAGAGTTGCTTGCTCTTTAAGAGCTGCTGATTCCAGTGTATATAGGCTACATTTTCTTCACAGAATTTATTAGCTAATATATTCTGAGTTTTCAGGGTGAGTTGAAGGAGACTATGCATGGGATAAATCTGTATATACTAAGTATGTTCATACACCTTTCCTCTGAATTGTGCCTAAGGTAAATATGCCTAAATTACATTGAAATCAATAGAAGGTAGTGCCTATTGGAATTCACCATCTTGATTCACTAAATTTTAGCTCATTGTTACTTTCACTATGATTTAAATATAGCATTTAAAAATTACTTTGCTGCATATCTTAAAATTCCTAGTCTGAGCATTTTGAAATGGCAAAGGCTTTTCTTAAGGAAGGCAAGAGAAGAATTACTATTCTAAGTCAGAAAAGTAAAGAAGGGAGTAAGGTAAGGATAAGTAAGAGGAAATAGTCTTTATGAACACTGACTGCCCACAGTGTACCAAACAACCAATTAAATTTGCCACCAGGATATTGTGATGTAACTTTGCTTTCCTATTTTCGATTTCTATTCAAAAGCACTTGTTAAGATTAAAGGACAGGTGCAACACAGAAAATAAAACTCTTTCATTATTCATAAAGTAATGCAACAAAATACTAAATCCACATTTATATATATGTACACACACACACACATACACAAATGACTTTATCTTCCTTGTTAGTCATTCATATTAGTAACATATTATATTCTACCATTAATTCTAAATATATTTATTTATTAATCAATTTTATTAGCCAGCTGGGTAGCTATATTAAAAATAAATAACTCTTCTATTGATTATGAAATATGAAGATTCACAATTGTAACTATATTATAAAAATGATTGAATTTGTAAAAAAAACAATAAAACTATGCTTTTCAAAGTTAATCTCATAAAATACATGCCTCTTTACAATCCTTAGAGCAGCTTTTAAGGGCATATAATGAAAAAGGGGCATTTTTCTGACCCAAACTCTGTAAGTAGGAACTTTCTGCAGTCATTAAAACACCTAGCTTGATTTCTTTCTGAATATTTAAATGAACCTGAGTTAAAACAATTCTTGAACATGTCCCACATATGCAAGTACTTACCACTGCCTAATCTGAGAAGCAGGACATCCTGTAACCGTCTGTTCAAATCTCTTAGCTCCTTCATTTCTGACACTAATGTTCCATACTCTTTTAACTTTTTTGCTTGTTGAACAAGCTGCCTCCTTGTTCTCTCAAGTTCCTGTTGAATGTGCCTCATTTCTTCTTGCTGTTGCTGATAGCTTCTCAGCAACTCTTCATAAAGAACTCGAGGAACTACAGCATCGTCCATATTGTTCATTCTGTCTGAAGTTTCCATAAATGTTGCCTCAGGACTGGAATTACTACTGAGACTCATTCCATTTTGTTTTTCAAGGCGCGCAACTACTGCTTCAATGCTTTTGTGCGTACCTTCATTCTGTTTCTTTCCATCTTGTCTCTGTATGTTACAACAAAACACATTATTAATATACTGTGTCATACAGCAATCTATAGAGTTCAACAGTTAATGAAATTAAGAGCACACTACAATTCTCAAGGGAAGAATATTTAATGAACATTGGGCCAACACAGTTTAATAACCAGAAAAGGTTACATAATAAATAACCATCTAAGTCTTTTTAAATATATATATATATATAATGGAGAGCAACAGTGGGAATGCACTGATACATTTACCACTACCAAGTATTATTTTTTAAAATTTGTATTATCCAAAGCCAACTTTTTTGGGGGAAGGGGATTTTGAGAAGATAGGAATAACTCAGACGTCACACTAAACTTCAAGAGAGACTTAGAAGTATTCATTACTGTAATCACAGGTTATATCTGAGAAGGCCAAAATGCTTATGCAAACTATAGTTCGACACAATAAGTGACCTACTCTCTCAGTCTCCCTAAGGAGTCGGTGCAGTTAAGGTGAATTCCCAACACAGTCAGATATGGTGCTGAACTGACAGCCAGAAAGTCAATTAAAATGTAAGGACATATATGGTTGTACAGCACTTAGTATGGCACACAGGCAGCTTTGAGCATTTAAAAGAAAAAGTCAGAGCCTGTTTATATGAACTCTGAGCACCCTTGACTTTAAAAAAAAAATTCGTACCATTTGTATAGAGTGCATTCAACATTAACCTAGATATATATTTTTAATGATTAAATACTGTGTTGTACCATCCCATCATCTGGAAACTTTAGATTTAGATGACAAATAATACCAAAATTGTTAATACCGTGTTTCCCCGAAAATAAGACAGGGTCTTATTTTCTTTTTACCCACAAAATATGGCTTGGGCCTTATTATGAGGGGTTTATTGTTTTGGGGTTGCTAGGCAGCTGCTCTCTTGCAAGTGGGCTCCCAAAGAGCCAGGCACAGCCTGATGGGCAAATGGCTGTGTTGGGCTGTCGCAGCAGTGAAACACAACAGCCATGAAGCGACCATGCTCACGAGTAGCCACCCTGCAAACCCTTTCCAGACGGGCACAGCACCATTCACTGATCTAGGAGAATCACCAAGCTGCATGAGCGCCTGTTTGCTGCCACCTGGCTTCCGCGGCTTGGCGCCTCCGAAATGCCAGTGAATGATGCTTTGCACAGCTGGAGAAGGGAGTGGTGCGAGCAGCTGTTCCACTCTTGCTCACACTCCTCCCAGCCTCATGATGCCCTGGCCCAGCTCTCCCTGCAGAGCCAGGGCACCTCTGCTGCTGCTGCCGCCACCATCCCAGGAGGGCTTTTTCAGCAGCTTCCAAACTAAGTCTTCCGGCAGTGGACACTCTATGGTTGTACGCTCTGCCAGCAGCTGGGCCACAACCATAGAGCGTATGCCCAGAGCGGCCATTGAGGCTGGGAGGCACAAGAGCGAGAGTGGAACAGCCGCTCATGGAACTCCCTCTCCAGCCGTGCAGAGCATCATTCACTGGCGTTTCGAAGGCGCCAAGCTGTGGGAGCCTGGTGGCGGTGAACAGGCGCTCATGTGGCTTGGCAATACCCCTAGGTCAGTGAATGGTGCTGTGCCTGGCTGGAAAGGGGGTTTGCCGGGTGGCTGCTTGTGAGTGTGGTCACTTCACAGCTGCTGTGTTGCGCTGCTGAAACAGCACAACACAGCCATTCTCTCATGAGGCTGTGCCCGGCTCTTTGGGAGCCCGCTCACAAGAGAGCAGCCGCCCAGAACCCCCCCTCTTCAGCTGGGCACAGCACTGCTCACCAACCTAGCGGTACCCCGAAGGCACCAAGCAATGCAATCACCTTTGCCTCCCCCCCCCCGGTTGCCGCGGTTAGGTTGGTGAGCAGCGGGGGGTTGTCCAGGGGATTTATTTGCGGGGGAGGGCTTATATTTTTGCCCACCAAAAAAATGTGGCATGGCCTTATTATCAGGACATGTCTTATTTTTGTGGAAACAAGGTAACATCCTGGAGAAGACACTGATAGAATGTATTTAAAAGCAATGTTTATACCTTGTTATTTGAAGATAATTTTTATATGGATTTGCCAAAGTTCAAAATAATTAAGAATTTCACAATACAAGGAATTAGTGGAAGAAAAATGGTATCTATTACTGTGCAATAATCAGCCAAACCTCTAAAAAATACTTCCAAATCAAATTTAGCTATTTCCCTTTGCCTATTAATACTAGTAAAATATGAGGCTCCCTATGAATATAGATTGCCCCAGCTAAACACTATACAAAATTGATAAGAAATTCAGCGTGTATATACTTACAAAACTTAAGTTTTTAAATAATGACTATATGCTTTATTTGAAAATACGGTTATTTGCCTCAAGGCCATAATTATAGAGTAAACAGCATATATGAAACTACAGTATGCAAAGAATAGCAAAGATAACTCATGTTATATCATTACTGTGTTAAGTTTATTTTAGTTTTAAGGAAATTGAGATGTGGATAAATGAACAAAACTTATCTCAATATAGTGGCATTCAATAATGTCTTATTGTATTGTATATCTTTATATTACACATATATCTAGAGATATCATCAGTCTGGAGAACTGAATGTATTAACTTATCAAACTGAGTTTGTTTTAGAACAGTAGGTGGAGGGAACATCTGACAGGGAGGGCTGTAAGGAACCCATAATTCTTTAGTTTTGCTAAGCTTTCTTTCTTTTTTCTTTTTTCTTTTTCCTAAGAATTGCTTAGGAGAAGCTTAGTTAAAAAAAACGTAATTATGAGATGCATTGGGGAATTCATGCAAAACTATACTAATAAAAGCCTGAGTTCCAAGCATGTTAATATACCTGCAATATTCACGCTGAATATGTTGAAGATGGGCAAGTTGAAGGGATTTGCAATATTCAATGCAAAACTTTGTCTGGAATAGTCAGTCTAGTTTTACAGTATATTTTGTTCTAAAAAGAAAAGATATCCATGATAAAACGATACTAAATAGAAAGTGAAAGAACTAATATATACAAAGGGAAAGAGTTTGTCAACATATTCAATGTGAAATGTAAAAAAAAGCATAATTAACATTTTTGTCCATTCTTTCAAGCAAAACTGATTATTTCAGAAAATTTTAAAAGATTACATTCTACTGATGTCAAAGTATCTGCTCAAAAATGCAATTATTATCTGCTTTTTTAAAGTATCAAAGAAGACACTCATTCTTTGAGCAATTAAAAAGCCTAACTCTGAAAACAATCACAATCTGACTGAAATAAAAGCAGCAAGTTGTTTTCCATTACGTAATGACATTCTCTGCCAACACTCTTTAATAGATCACTATCTTTAAAAGCAATCCTTCTATTTGGGAATAATTTCTTCTTGCCTTGATATGACCTTTCAATACAATAAATCACTAAAATAAAATTCTTCCCTTTTCCTGTTAGCCATAAATATTGTCTTGTTGATAATTTTCCAGAAACTGGTGTAATAAGTTTTAAAAGCCCAGCTTTTATCATTAAATTATAGAATGTTCTTTAATTTTAAAAGCATGAAGATCACGCTAAGCTTTCAGTAAAATATAATAATTTTGGGTTTAACATTATTCAACATTATGCTAAAGTATACATTTTGATACAGAGCAGCTGATTCTTCTCCTATATTAAAATCCTTTAGATGTTTGTGAACCTACAGAAAGTCACAAGTCACAATTTTAAAACTTAAGCTTTCCAATGATAATAAAAATATTTTTACACACTTTGTAGGAGAAAAATGTACTTAGCTAGCACATTACAACTTACAACTATTTCTTTAGTGACCAAAGTTACAATGGCACTGAAAAAATGACTTATGACTGTTTTTCACATTTATGATGATCACAGGATCTCCATGGACACATGATCAAAATTTAGACTCTTGGCCACTGGCTGATATTTATGACAGTTGCAATGTCCTGGGGTCATGTGATCACCTCTTGTGATCTTTTGACAAGCACAATAAATGGAAATGCCAGATTCACTTAAATCTGTTATTAATTTTACAACTGTAGTCATTTACTTAACACCTATGGCAAGAAGAATCATAAAATGGGGCTAAAGAGTTGTCTTGCTTAAAAACAGAAATTTTGGACTCAATTGTGGTTGTAAGTCAAGGACTACCTCTATAAATAATCTGAATTCTGTTGTTACATTAATGGATATTGTTTCATATGTGGTATTCTGCTAAAGACTGTCAATAGAGGGTTTTTCTTTTGTAAAATTACATTGATAGAAGATTGTATTTAGGATATTTATCTGCCATTAGACCATTTTCCATCACTTCAGACTATAAAAAACTGTCTAAAGGATACAAAAGAAATCTAAGTTTTCGAGCTTCAGTGGAAAGCTGCTCACTTGGAGATGGAAATAGTCTTCTCCCTCCCCCAAAAAACTGAAAAGTTTTGTATACAGCTTGAATCTAGACAAAGAGATGGTGATGAAATGAAAAAATGTGTATAAAATAAGAACAGTAATGAAATAATAAATATGAAAAAATATTATAATTGTACAAGTGATGAATCAGTTATAAATAAGATACAACAAAGTTAATAATTTGGATAATTTTTGTCATAACTGAAGAAAGGATATTGGTTTTAAAAACATAGGTTATATTAACATGCACCAACTTCGTAGGCTTACCCAATGAATGAACTGCAGGACAGCTGAGGTTTCTGGTTCAGTTCTGCCTATGCTGACTTTTTACTTCAGTGCCTGATAATCTCAGCAATGAGAAATCCCTGCTCTTGACAAACCACTTAATAAAAGAGAAATTCCACTTTTTAGACAAATCCAGTAGAAAAAATTGGATTATAATTTCGTTTTTACCCCATCATATAAAAATGTAGATGACTATTAAAAAAAAGAAAATATCTCCTTTAGATAGCTGATCAGAAATAAGTCCAAAAATATATTCACAAAGGTTGTTCTCATCTAGTGTTATTCTCATTAGTTTGCGTTTGAAATGTCTTTCAAACATGTCTTTATCTCCATACCACGAAAAAATGAAATGGCATGGCTGCTATTAGATATTCTGATTAGCAAAATGAAAATCCTTCTTTTGAATACTATTACTAGCAAAAAGTAAATGAATTACCACTGAAGCTTTCACTAGATTGAACTGAAAATGCCAGTATATTGTAGTTATAGAAAACATGAGCTACTGGCTGGTTGGCCTGGGACCCCGAGGAGGGGGTGTGTGCTCACCACTGGGGGTGCTCGCCATATCGCAACATCCAATGTTGACAGTTTCTGTGCAGCAATGCTCAAGATTCGTTGGATGATGACCAATGACATAAACTAGACTTAATGAGTAACTTGAATTATCTGGTGTTTGATATAGTCTTCCACATATTAATCTTTTATTTTTCCTTACATTTATCTAATGCTCATACCCCTTTCTTTAGATTCTTTTAGACTCTTGTTCTTTATATATACTTTGTTATTTTTACATCTTCTAGCTTTTCATAATTTTTTAGGGTCTCGATGATCTTCGCTTTTTAAGTTACAGAACCAGACACTCACCTCCACTTCACTTAATTCTAGTCTATGACCATTTTAAAGATTTGATTTCGAAAGTGCAAAATAAAATCTGATAAAAATGTAGAATGTTTCAAAGTTGGGTTAAAACAAATCTAATGATTGCTGAAAACAATGTTAAAAACTGCTAAATATCTTACATCAAATAACTTTTGTGTTATAAATATTTATATTTATATTTAATGGTCTAATGTCAATGAAATGTTTAACCAGAAATTAAAAATGACTGGATACAGTGCTGGTAACCAAGTAGCTTTTTCAAGAATATTGCAAGTTTTTTCCCTTAAAAATAGAAACATTTAAATAATTAAATATAACCCAAATATCACCAACTAATGCTGTTTTTGTATTCCTAACATTACATATGCTGTTTCTCTTTAATGTTGGCATTAAGCTATAACTCAATGAAAATTAAAGCAGCCATTATTTTCCATGTAAGTACTATAGATGTACAGGTATTTATTTCCCATCTAACTTCAATGGAATTAAGAGGGGGCATACATATTCCAGGAACACCAAATACTAGTACTGCTTACACAGCTAATGCTTCTTTCCTCAGAAACCCCACTTACCTCGATAGAAACATGGCTGAATATTGCACAGTGCCCAATAGCAGGTTAAACTGAGAGAGCTTTGATGTGTAATATGTAACTGATGAACCAAAACTCTCCACAATTTTATCACATAAGCAAAACCTGGGGAGGGGGATCATATGTTATACAAATTTTATAATGGTTATCATAGTTCTTATTTTTATGATGTTTCATATGGGTTTCCTTGTGGTATTCATTGAGCATTCTCATACTCACATTAGACAAAAAGTGTGAATGCTATTCCTATATATTTTTAAACAAGATGGGTGCAAAAAGTTATCTATTGAGTTGGTTTTCTCAAACTATGGGTTGGGATTCCCTCTCAAACTCATTCTGGGCTTTGTCTGCACCAGGCAGCTTAAATATTGAAAAGTATAAGAACTACTATAATATACACATTAACATTTCATTATTGAAACTAAGTACACTTAAGTACATGTATATCCTGCCCTAAACTTAATCAAATCTTTATTTTTAGTCATATAGAGGTCACATGGATTTATTTATTATTTTACGGAGTCACAGCATGGCAGTGTCTGAAAACCTTGCTACAGACACAAAACTTTAAATAAGAAAACAGAAAGATACTTTACAAGGATGTTTTCTTCAAACTCAGTGAATTTTGCTACTAAATCTACTTTAAAGAAAGTTCCCAGATGGTAAGATTCATATCACTCTGTACAAACTATTATTTAATTGACTATATGTTTTTCATACACACAAGAACACACACACCATTTATAATTCACTTCTTTAACTGTGTGAGGTAGGTTGTTATCCCAACCAGTTGTATATAACTTGACACTCAAACTCCATACAAACATTGGGTCCCACAGGAGTGCCTGAATATTTGACACACTTTATGTTCATGGAGAACTAGAGAATTCTCTGATATAACAGAGCTACTGCTTTATTCATTTTGTTACACTTCCAAATTCGAAGTTCAAATAAGAATAAAGACATATGGTTCTTAAAATTGTTGTATATGAATCATAAGTGTAAAAAAATGCTGTTCTAGTTATATTTCAGCTTGTCTACCATAAAAATATTTACTCCTGAAAATGAAATAACATCACTACAAGAAATCTTGTTGCACAAGCTACTATAAAAACAAGTCATCATTTTTTTAAAAATAATCACAATAACTCAATTTTGCTAACCCAATATTTGTTTCTTATCAAACAAAATGAAGGTAATGTCATAAGAATATAAAGGAGAAAGGTATAGACATTTGGGACTCTTGGTTGTACAGTATTCACAACATTCCAATTCTAATCCAATATCTCAATGTATTTTTGTAAGTCAAATCCCATTGTATTTAATGGGATTTAATTTTCATTAAAAGTGCATAAAAATTGCAATCTGCATTTCTGTATGCTAAAGAACGAAAGAATTCCTGACATTCTGAAATTGATTTGCGGTAGAATAAAGCACATCCAAAATTAGAAAAAAAAGAAAGAACAAACCAACAAACAGGCTTCAATACCTTACAGTGTCTAAGTTCCATATCTTCATCCCCATAATCTGTAATTTCCCCTGTTTCTTCTAGGTGATTGAGAGAGAGCTTGGGGATTTTAATTTTCTTCTGCATCACACTGTTTTCAAGGTCTGTTTTATCTTCTGCAAATTTACATAAAAATATTTTTTCACATTTTTCAAACTGATTATTCAAATACTGTATGATTGAAGCCAGACCATTTAAAAAGTTCCCATGCTTGACTATCTTTCATATGCAGTGATAATCAACTGCTCCAGAAACTTTTTTTTTTTCAAAAATAGATGCGCTGCCGTCCTTATACAGAAATTTGAAGAATATTGTAAAAATATTAGGGCTTCCAAAGATTGTTAAGAACACAGCTAAAATCCAAACTTAAGCACAATATTTTGCAGATGATATTGGACCAGTTATGCATTTTCCCTCAGTGCAACCTAATTCAGAGTTTTAAGATCCAAAAATGGAGAATAATATTCTACATTCTAAAAATACTATATGTATGTTGATGGCTCCCCATTTTCTCATTCTTGCTCTTTTAAACAACAGTAGAGCAGGTTGCTCAATGTCAAGATGTTTGGAGAGTCTGGGATTTTATTTTTTTCTGTAAATATGGGGAAAACCCTAACTCTAACCCTTATAAACAGCAAAAAGAGAAATGCCTCCATCCTTATATATTCTCTGCTGCTTAATGCAGCAGCAGTACTGTAGTAGCAAGACTGCAGAAAATGTGGAGAAAGAATGTATACTCTTTTCCTGCCAGAAATTTTGTCAACAAGAGAAAACTAGAATCCAGCTCAGATTCAGACTAGGTATTTTCCAGGCTTTTTAGAAGTTCAATTTAAAATTAAAGCCCTTTCATTATGTATAAATATTTCAGTGATTAGAATTTCTTCAGTGTCTTGCAATACGTTGCTTTTTGTAAAATATACCTATTTATATTTTTGTTAGTTCTGAAGATCACATTGAATTTTAACAAGTTGTCCCAAGTAATCAATTAATTAAAAGGACTTTAAGAAGTCCACAAGAATTAAATAGCAATCACTGTTAATTCTGCTACACAGAGCTACTAAAATTAAATACAGTTACTCTTTCTGCCAAAAAGACAAGTCAAAATTAAATCCCAATATTTAGGTTTAGGAACGTTTTTATAAAAGTAAAATTACTAAAGCCAATCACAGATGAACTGAGAGATACAATAGGAGCAATTGTTCCGGGCACTAAAAGTAAATAACTTACTGACTAAATAAAAATTTATTGGGAAAGTAATATAAATATCACTTGCTCTCCTATTTCAACACAAGTCACCCCCCCACCCTTTATGTAATTTATTAGCTAAGGAAAAAGCCAGGGAAAATGTATCTGCTTTTTGAGACAAAATGTATCATTTTGACTTACTTAAGTACATTTTGTTCTTTCAGTTCAAAACATCTCAATTTATCTATATTCTAGAGGGCAAGAAATTATACTCATCATGGTATCAGCTGATCTTTAGGAATTTTTTAATTGTGGCCAATTCTAAAGTATTGCTGAGTGACTCTGCTACTACAAAGATACACCCTATAAACCAAGTGCAATTTATAATGATACATTGATAATTAATTGCTTTAGAACACTTCAAAAATATTAAATACCATTAGAACAAATGCACTGATACATCTAGTTCAATGGGTGCCACACCCAAATTTATCACTAATCATGCACAAAAGCCTCAAGAAAGACTATGAAATAGCCCAAATATGACTGGAAATTTTCATTCCCTAAAAGGAGGAGAAATGGAGTGACTCAATTCTTGAACATTGCTGTTCTTTATTACATTAACAGCTTCCAGTTCAATTTATATTATAACAATTTATATTATAACAAAATTTGGCCCAAATTAGATATGAAAATTATTTCAGAGTTGCCATTCTTTGCCACATGGAATTTTCAACAATCCAAAATAAAGGAAAATATTTAACATGGCATTTCTTCTTGTAAGGAAAAATGAACTACCTAAAAAGCAATCAGAAGTTGAATAAAAAGTTGTGCAGGAAATGTGAGGGTGCAAAATTAGATTGACAAATCATGGACATTTTCATCCTACTTTGGGAAAATGTTAAATGGAGTGGATCAAAGAACCTCAGGTGTAAATCTCTCTTTGAACTGGTTTATTGACAATTATATTCATCAAATGTATTCTGGTTTTCTTAAATGTATTCTGCATTAAGCAGAATCATCTACACTGTATTTATTACAATCACTTATAATGAAACTCAGTAGTGCATTTTGGATGGCTCTGGTTTATTTTTGTTCCAATGTTTTTTTATTCTGGTCAGCAAATGTAATATTACACGAGAGGTACATTTCTATCTTACACCAAAAAGTAGGGGAAATGATTTAATTATTTCACACAGCTTTTCTAATAGAGCCTGTTATCTTCTTTAAATTGCTTTACCTGTTATTTTGTACAGTTTCTATGAAATAGGACTTATGTTCCATTAACACTAAGTTGAGCCTTATTGGTAAAGATTAGTACACATTCTATGTTCTATATCAGCGATGGCGAACCTTTTTTGGCTCGTGTGCCATAAGTGGGGGGAGCACAGGGGGGTTGTGTGCGGGCGTGCTGCACCCATAATGCAATGTGCGACACCCCCCCCCAGTGCGCATGTGCACTACAGGCGCTCCCCCCCATTTTTTGCATGCTTTTTTCACCCTCCCCAGAGTCCAGAGGATTTATAGGAGCCTGGGGAGGGCCTCCCGGATGCCCTTCAGAGGCTTCAGGGACCTTCAGGAGGCTTCTCTGAAGCCTCCGGAGCAGTCAAAATGACCCTCCAAGCAAACTGGAAGTCACTTCCGGTTTGCTCGGAGGGTCATTTTGAGCGCTCCGAAGGCTTCAGCAGTCAAAACAACCTCCGAGCAAACCGGAAGTCAGTTCCTGAACTTCCGGTTTGCCCATAAGGTCGGTTTTTTGCGCTCCGGAGGCTTCACGGTAGCTCATGAAGCCTCTGGAGCCTGGGGAGGGCGAAAAATGGCTTTTAAAAAGGGTGAACTCAGCTGGCCAGTGCGTGCATGCGTGTTGGCCAGCTGACAGGGCAGCGCCTCGTGTGCCGACAAATGGCTCCGTGTTCCACCTGTGGCGCGCATGCCATAGGTTCGCTATCACTGTTCTATATTGCAAGTTTTAAAAGACCCTCTACAAAGATCAATTATTATTTTTTAAAAGGCTCAATTTTTAAAGTTTCCTACTTATTTGTTAGCCTTAGATCTTGCCTATTTTCCAAAAATATTTACATAGGAACACCCTTATTTAATCCTCACAACAACAATCTCTTCAGTAGAGTGTTCTCAGAAAGATGATCTAAACGTATCAGTTTCCAAAACTGAGAGCAGATGTAACGTTAATCTCTCCAGTACAACACCTTAACCATTACACTAAGTTTCATTCTTCAAATGAAGAATGTTGGTATTTTAACATTTTAGTAGCATAAGAAGAATTATGATCTATCAATAGCAATCACAATTTTTGTGTGACTACTGAAGTTACTCACATTTGTAAAAATCTACTCATAAATATACTGCATTAAAGAATCTCTGCAATGTGAAAGTCATTTAGAGAGAAGCTTATCTTTCTGAGAAAAATATTGGAACATATCAGCAGCTGCATCTTTTAAAAGCTTGGTGAAGCAACTTCAAAATCCCATTTTTAAGTTTTAGTATAAACACAGAAAAGTGGAAATTGCCTTGAACTAGCAATATGGGTCTTAAGAAATATGGTGTTTTGATGCTCTAAGCCAGGGATGTCAAACTCACGTAGCCATGGTGGTGTCATGTGACATATCGGGACTTTTTTTCCCCCTTCACTAAACTGGGCGTAGGCGTGGCCAGCATGTAATGAATCCGGCCTGCGAACTGGGAGTTTGACAGCCCTGCTCTAAGCAATAGGTTTGGAGAGCTGGTTTATTAAGTTAACTTAGCATGGTTTTTATGGCCCTAATCAACACCTGTATAAAATAATATACAAATTGCTGGGTGTTTAATCATAATAATTATCAAGGGTCCCTACATTTTAGCTCCAGTGACTATGGCTAACCTTGAATTCACTTAGTATAATTTTCAAGAGTTGATATTGCATATATTCTTGATTAATATCAATCCATTCCATTAATCCAAGAACTGGAACACCTGATTAGGTGCAAAAATATAAAACATATTTAAAATAATTTGAACTGTTTGATTTTTATCATATTTCTAGTTATATTTTAAAGTAATGAAATTAGCTTTTAGAAAGTCTTTAAAAATATTTAAGTCATAAAGCTTTGAACAGCTCTCAAGTTAGAAGGCCTTAGTACAATAAAGCAGTGGTCCCCAACCCCCGGTCCGCGGACCGGTGCCGGACCGTGGAGTACCTGGCACCGGGCCACGCAGAGGCCGGGGGACATGATCGCTGCAGCGCAAAGGCTCCTGGGCCGTGCGCAAAAGCTCCTGGGCCGTGCGCAAA